ACCCATAGGAATGAGATGTGATAAAAAGTAGATGGTTGAAGGAAGGGCCAGCAGCACACCGTCGTATATCAAGAATTCGAGTAAAGGGGCTTGCACCTCATGCACCGTGTAAATGAGCTGAATTTGGTGGAGCAACTGTGTCTGGTACAATAAACTCTAATTTATTTGACTGCGTCATTGCATATTCGGATTCCATGCTATGTTCACACAACGATTGAAACAGGTGTGCAAGTTATTGTCTTCAATGGGCACGAAAATCCCAGAGTTCCTTGGAATTGTCTCATGGAAGGGACAATGTGAAAAAGGCAATTCAAAGGTAGCATTGATTCTAACTTGATCCTCCAAAACAGTCGTGCCCCTCAACTATTTCTTCTTTGCGCGTGTAAAGGTCGGCCGCGCGAAAAATTTGAGATTCGCGAGGAATGTTTCAACAGTCGCCAAAAGACATGATACCAGCAAAATCATTTTGAAATTCGAAGCACACGATTCTTTTTTTTTTTTTTTAATTGTCAACTTTATTATAATATGTTATGATCGTTTTTTTCTTACCGATCAAAAAGAGATAAAAATAAAAAAAAAATAATAATGATAATGATAAACAATTATTTCAATGAAAACGTTTAGCAGAAGAAGAAAATAAAAAGAAAAAAGAAAGAAAATCGAAGGGGGTGAAGACGAAAACGAAAACGAAAAGGAAACGATCCTATTTAGAACAGAACAAAAAAAAAGAATAAAAATAAGTAAACGCATAATTTTTTTTTTTTATATATATTTTCAATCCCAACCATAATTAAATAATAAAAAATTCTTTCATAAAAAAAAAAAAAAAGAAAGAAATATGAGATGGCATGTTGGAGTGCGAAAGGCATAGGAATTTTTTTTTTTTTTTTTTTTTTAAAAGCTTATAAGATCTTGGGGCATGGAGTTGAAGCTTAGAAAAAACTCTGCATAATTGGAAGTCGGATTCCGATCAAAAGAATGGAAAAAGTTGGATCGAGAGTGTGAGATGCGGTGGGTAAAGCTGAGCTCAATGCCTGCTAACCGCATCTCTCTTTTTTTTTTGTTGGGGGTATTAATATTAACTAATGATAGGTGAATATATAATACTAATAATAAGTATAATAAAAAGGGTTATTATGATTACAACACGAAAAAATATTCAAAAGAAAAAAAATAATTATAATAAAAAAAAAAAAAAAGAAAAATTGTAGCGCATTCAAGTCGAACCAAATGAAACTCTAGCACCCAGAGGCATCCGGCGCTGCCAGAACTCGCAAGGTGCTACCTCGCCGCTTCTGTATCAAATCTTCAAAGGCCTCCATCTTCTCTCGATATTCCGCCTGTTTCAACGCTGCTAGACGTTGTTGCCCATTCTCGTGGACATTAGAGTAGGAATGTCTTCTTTGAACCGAGTTTGTTCGGACCACGGGTACCGGCTTTTGAGGTTCCTTGCTCGACCGTCTCGGTCGAGTATATTTCGAATGGGAGTAGTGGGAATGTGCGGGATGGGAGAGATCCAAAGCGGCAAAAGATGGTGTCCATTCCTTTTCGTTTGGTGAGACGGATGGATTTTTTTTATTGTGATGAAATATGTTCATCAATTTCTTGGTTACCATGGCGAAAAAAAAAAAAAAAAAATGTCTGCAGTTGGTGGTCGTCTAGAGAATTGATGTGTATTTCAACGCTTCTTCTTGTTTGTTTCAAAAAAAAAAAAAAACAATCTTATTTCAAGTGTTATGGGGGAAGGGTCATTCGTTGTGGTTACGTTTTGTTTTATGAAAAAGAGGGAAGGCCAAACAAAGTCTCTTTGTTTTTAGCTAAAAAGAAGGCGATTTTTTTTTTTTTTTTTTGAACGTCAAACTGTTGAGTTGAGGGTTTCGTAATAACAACTAATATTTATAGTTTTTTTATAGAATAAAAAAATCTTTTTTATATACGCTTATACAGAAATTGCCAATAAAAATTTTTTTGTTCCCGAATATATAATAATAATGCTGTAATCGTAATAATATAATAGTCAGCTCATTCACGGTCGCATAATTACACACACAGGCATATATTCTTATTATAATATATTATTCATGGGTGTCGGGCATACTGTACATGTTGCTTTGGTAAAGAGTAAATAAATAAATAAATAAAAGAAAAAAAATTTTTTTTTTAAAAAAAAAAGAGAGACAGATAATAATAATAATAATATCAATAATAATTTTCAGAAACCCCGCAAAAACATATGCGCGCATGTAGTTACGATAATTATGATGTTAAATTAAAATCGTGTTCAATTTCTTGTTTTAATTAAATACTCATCATTCGCAATTTTAATAGGTGAGACCGACGGGTATTATAATAATGATGACTTTGTTATGTGCCAAACGAAGTGGTTCTTCGTTTTTTTTTTCACCCCCCTTTCGTGACCTAACAATGGGAATGCTTTCGAATTGTAGATAAATTAAAACAACACCGAGATGTCAAAGAAAAAAAAAAAAAAAAAAAAAAAACGATAATTGGTGCACATCTAACAACAATTAAACTAATAATATGTATGAGGTTTTTTTTTATCAGGTTTATTCTATTACTGTTATTGTGACACGATAAACACAAATTGGTTGGTCAGCTTGAACAAGCCACTATGCACGTTTTTTTAGATATTATTGATGAAACAATAGAGGCGTCGTATATACGGTGTATATAGTATATACAGTATACATGTACTGTATATCTGTAAGCACACAATATATATTTACATGTACAGTATGTGTATGGTGTGCGATATACTGTATAGCGAACTAATAATAACGCAAATAATATTCATTCAAGTTGGCATGTAGTCCCCTTATCTCATTTACATTCGGCCTGGACCGCCACATCAAATAACCACACAAGCCAAGCAAAATCAAGCCAAGGAAAGAATATACTGTATATCCCAGGAAATCGCGAATAAGAACGTTGCCACATCTCCTATCTTGAATTTACCGCTAGGTCTCCCGGTTAACGGAGTTGCTCGGCGTGGAACTCTCGAGGCAAAAAAAAAAAAAAAAAAAAAAAAAAAAAGAGAATGAATAGAAAAAGAAAATGACATGGTTGCGATTGTTCTGTGAACACCCGGACCATTCTTTTATGAGAACGGTGGGAACGGCTAAATCAAAAATTGAATTGGTGCAACGCAGCCAAGAGGTCTGGTCAGAGAGTTTATGGAAGACGGGTATGAAAGGAGAAAATTTTCTCCCCATTATTTTATTTGCGATATTAATATATTTGGTATGAAGGCTCGGGGGTGTGCCTCCCTCGATATCGAAGAAACCTAATTTGACAATACCGGTGGTGGAATTTAAGGATCAACCTTACCGGAAAATAATAATAATGATAATGCTGATATATCGTTTTTTTTTTTTTTTTTTTTTTTTTTTTGAGTGTACAATGATAAGCTCGTGAAGTGTTAAAAAAAAGCTTATGACGAAATTTTTTGATAGATTTTCGGAGGGTATTATATTTTTTCCTTAAATACGTGTATAAATAAGATAGAATAAAGTGGCATCAATAGATAAATTGGGGTGAGAGTTGGGCGGTGATATATAGCAAGTGTTAAAGTGTTTCAGGTTCGTCGCACCATGGCTGATTCTGATGTCCTCGTGACATTATTTCGGTTAGCCGGGTCGCACTCCGGACTTCATTTGCCGTATGGCCATTTACTGTATATACAGTGCCCACTGTTAATTGAATTCTTGCGGTAATAGAAATCCAATCCATCGAATGTATTTAGGTGACTTCTCGTATTTGGGTATCCTAAAGAAATATTCAAATACGAAAAATGATTTGATCCTATTTTAATAATAATACATAAATATAGATATAAATTTATTTATTTTTATTTTTTTTTTTATTTTTTTTTCTGAACGATAACTCACCAATGGATCCTAGAGTCATCGTCCACATGGCTTAATGCGATGAGTAAGCAGAATGGACGTAATTGTAAACAAAAGGTCACATAGCACAATGTAAATTAACTTCAGCCTATAATTATTCATTCACGTTCTTTTTTTGTCCGTGAACCCTATTTGGTGCACACGAAAAAATATTCAGGTATAATGATTGAATGTTTTTTTGTGCAGACGTGGGTCGATTGAGTTCAACATTCTATAAATTCATGGGAATATCTGCGAACGCGTAAATTCAAAATGCAAACATTTGGTAACAAACAGACGTCATAAGATGCTTACAAATAGGATTGTATGTTGATGTGGCTTCATTAAGAGTTTCATAACAAGATCTGAAAGGATCGGGAACCGTGAAAAACAACATCCGATTTTTTTTTCTTGGTAAGAGCTGTTTATGTCCATCCGTCTTAGTAAGAGCGGTGTTTATCTCCATCCACCTCAGTTAACCGAAAGCCCTTACCTCAAATATTTGATGGAAGGTGAGAAAAGAATTTTCCTTTTTTCCTGTGTCCAGCTGACGGCTGTTATTGACCGCGCGAATGGACCGAAGCGAAATCGTTCCCGCATCCAGGTGCCGCCAGTTTGCCTTCTTTCATTGTTGAAACTTTCATGGTGCAGAGAGTACACAAATAACACCTTTGTCACGACCTCAAACTTCTTATCGAGGGTATGCATAAATTTCATGCATTGCCGAACGGACCATCAATTTGTCCTGACGTTCTAGAAAATGAAATCAAAACATTAACGTTGGCGGGTTATTATCCCAAATATGGACATGATATTGTACACGGTCACCAGAGAACGAGAAACCCTTTGGAAACAACTAATAATATAAGTGATGCACATAATAATTTCAATCTATTATTGCTACTCTATCCTTTTATTTCTCACATTGTAAGGCTATATTTAGCATGCCGTCTCTTAGTGTTTCACGGCCTGTTTGTTGTCTCATTGTTTCGGAGTTGCTGGTAAACATATTTCACATAAGGTGTTAAATATTTTGCCATTGTTCTGAGCTACAATTAATTTATTTTTTTTGCCACTAATCATTGTTCAAATATATTATTTTCATATTAAAAAAAGATCTAGTAGGTCTCGTGCGATCGCAAAAGGGATTCCCAAATCAAGGAAAGCAACGTCTCTTCTAAATTCAAAAAGCGATGAGGAAATGATCGCCATTTACTGTATTTCTTTCAGTAAGTTGTAGTTTGACACCAGGCCCCTTACATGATTTCACTAAAATCTCCGATGTCTTTTTTTTTTCACCAACAGGTTTTTTTTCACAGCGCTCATATGACGGATCTACAGGTTGACCCTTCAATGTTCGGACGTTGATTGGTTTGCATCTCTATTTGTTATATGCAGAGGTAATTAATTCCCTTGGGACAAATAAGAAGCGTGAGAAGCATCTCTTATGACCTCATAATTGAAAACCGAAAGTTATTCAAGCGGATTACAGATTGTTTGACTTTGTGAAAGTCCCCTAGCACACGGCGAGTTAGCGCACAATATAGACTTGAAGACGAATGCACGTCTTGTTGGTTTCTCGGTCCAGTTGCCAATCGTTTTACGTAATGACTGTCGTATGCATGAGTTTGACATCATTCAATGTATTACAGAGGTTTAAAAAAAAAAAAAAAAGGGTAGGCTTTCCTTTCTTCCTTTCTTCTTGGTGATTGAAAATGTGCAAGAAGGAAGGTCAGCCGTCCGAATGACGAAATCTTGCATGAAAATGCTAAACTTCAAAGCTCATCAGCCTCATAGTCACATTCATTCATTCATTCATTTTTTTTGGGGGAAAAAAAAAAAAAAAAAAAAAAGACCCCATCACCCTGATTCTTAAAAAGCTAGGCGTAGTAGTTTGCTTAGTCAACCGTCTAACCAGAAACCAGGCGCAAATGAATGCATGCGCAATAAACTTTTTTTTTTTGTTGTTGTTGTTTCGAATAATAAATGTATATAGTATCTCATACAATTCACGAAATTAGACAACTTTTGGTAATGATTTAATTGTGATTGATAAGCGCAAACGTTCCCCTTTATTTGACACCAAATTTTGCTCATTTTTAACAAATATTTTCAATATTGCATGCGTAAAAAACGTCTAAATATTTCACGTCAACTCCTAGTAACGTCTTTCCGTTACCCTTACCTTAATTGTCTTCTCTCCCGAAGAAGCGATGTCACACCGCCACCAAATTTCTTTGATGAATTTCTTGCGATATGCACTGTGTTGTGGGATCGGTCAAGCATTTGATAGGTGCAAGGTGCTCCGTATGTACAATACGTATGTACTTCATATGATAGAATACCGTGTATGCATGCGTCGGGCGTCAACCCGATAAATCATGAATAAAAGGAAGGGCAAGAAAATAATAATAATAATAATAAAGAAAGAAAAAAGTGAAAAAAAAAAAAAAAAAAAAGAATATATACTGTATATACTGTATATACGTTATTATTCATGAACATCCATGGCTCCCTAATTCTAATTGGTTCGTCGGTTTAATTGTGATGGATCGATTGGATGCATGCCAAAGTAAACGACGAGTGCACACATATGCGTCACGTCGAATATTGAAAAATAGCGATCTTACAGTATTTCATTCATCTTTTAAAATCGAAAATACTGACTGCATTTACGATCCGGCAAAAAAATTTTCAGGGAATATGTATATACTGTATATTATGAATCGCATGGCGAAAGATATCTGTTTAAATTTGAATATAAAAACATTGGAATCGAAGGAAATTATAAATATCGCTTTTTTTTTCTTTTTTTTTCTTTTTTTTTTTAAAAAAAAAAAATTACATTACATTACAACATAGTAATGATAGTAATGCATAAACAAATAGCATTTAAACTTAAGTGTGATCGACACTGATTGATTTCCAAAATCGGAAATTTCAATGCGTAATTCGTATCAGCGAAGAAAAAAGTATTCAGGGAATCCGAGTGGACTTCGGTGCGTTTACTTGACACAGTAGGATTTACTTTATTTATCAGACCTAAAGTTAAACCCGGTCTCACCATCGATTCGTCATTTGATTTATATTTAGCAAATTTGCGCGACCAATTACACATAAACCCGTCCCATCCAAAAAAGACCTACTTCAACATAAGGCAATAGTGCGTATAAATAAAAATCCGTCAATGTGAAGTTGCCGTACACTTTTTTTTTTTTTTTTGTTTATGCGGAGGACTATTAAAGTAACGTCAAAATCCCATCCGACTATATGTCGGTCAACGCGACATCAAATCAGTGTTGCATATTACCTGAGGGGATGGCGATTAAAATTTACATTGGCGGGTAGCTCTGTTTTTTTTTTCGTACATCTTGAGATTGCGATCAGGTGGACTTAGGGTTCTGAGGTATGCATAAAGCCCGTTATTCCACCATACACCAATATATCACTTGATATCATGTTTACGTTGCACCTCGCTACCCCACAGAGTAAACGCGCATGCAACTAAAACTATAAATCATTCAACTCGTCATCGGACAATACACCTTAATGCTATTAAGACAACCGGCTAGTATTTGTTTATAAATCAGACGCACATGAAACACAGACACGCGCGCGAATGGGAATGTCACACACCTTTACCCTTGAAAAAAATTTTCAGGGGTTCGTTTAACGATTCATTTTCTGTATTTGTGTTGGGTCAATTGTGAAACTCGAGGGCTCCGCCAACTTTAAAAGAATTTCGGGAAACTATAAAATCGTGCCGAGAAATTTGTTTACAGACCTGGTAACCGATTCATGCGAGTGAATTCGCCGAAAGCAAAATTACCATCGCCCATTGGAGGAAAGACAGAGAAAGAGCTAATAAAGTGATGTCACACACTTGGCCACGTTATTGTTATTACCATTTATTTTATTATTATTATGATTGTTATTATTATTTATTATTATTGTTGTTGTTTATTGTTATTATTTAAGTGGTGAAGTGGTTTCGTATCTATGCTATATTTGATGGATACGCGAAAACATTAAATGTTCTCCACTTAAAAATTGATGCAGCAGATTACATCATACTGACAACATAGATTTTAATTGCATACATACGCAATGAAAGCAGCAGCAATCAACTTACCACTAATATGGGTCCCAATATAAGTAGTATTGTAAACAAAAAGAAAGAGAAAGAGAGGGAGACACAAAAAAAAAAAAAAAAATTTTTTTTTTTTCTCATTGGAATTTTATTGGCGTAAATATTTTTACGCCATCCCGATGTATCTGTCGTTGCTACTTCATTTAACCGACTGCCATAAACAGAATGTGAAAGTGGTGGCATATTTATAATTAATATGTGCCCCACACAGTAAACAAACGAAAGGATGTATCAGAAGAGAAATGTTGTCATCTTGTGTTATCATAAAATTACTTATTCATATTAAGTAATCAGGCCCTGAACAAGAAACCGGCGAAACCTCGTTCATTAAATGGCGCAAACAAACGATTCATTCTAATTTAAACTGAGTTACACCATCAATCGTGATGTATTCGGAATCGCCCACTGTCTCAGAATCGCCGATTTCGTGGATGCTGATCACACGCCGTGAGTTGTAGCGCTGTATTATATGAGGTGTTGAGGAGGAAAAAAAAAACAAAACAAAACAAAACGAATATTTGGACCTTATCTAACTTGGGGATCCCAATTCGCGTAGCAAGATGTGGCCATGATGCATTACGTTGGTCACATTCAAAAAGGATGTTTCAGAGAGAGATCACCCTTTGTCATAATGATAACGATCCGCCCACCGAGATCTTTAACATTTTTACCCCACTATATCAGTAACTGGTCTAATGATATTACAGCATCCAATTATGGGAATAGCTAATCTTCATTAATTCCTGTGTCACCCGGTGGAGGTTATTCGTTATCTTTTTTTTTTTTTTTTTTTTTTTTCCTCCTGCAATTAATATAATTAATATGCAAGTCTTCTCATGCCACTAATATCATTCACGCATACCTCTCAAAAATCGACGCATCGCTTCTCCTTTCACAGGGACATGACATAATCATGTAGGGAACTCCCCCTCATTGATGTATGCACGTCTACGATCTATATATACCTTTGACCTGTAAAAAAAAAATCTTCACGCCCATTGACACACCAATTGCCAATTCAATTCTATTTCGGAAATTCAAGCCACCTTGTAAAGAAGGAAGGGACAATTGATAATTATTGTTCGCGAATCTCTTTTTTTTTTTTTTAGTTCCCATGCGCGCATAATGGTATGCATACTTATCTCACCCTTGCTTGGGCTATATCTATCCTATTATGTAAGATGTCCTATCAAATCGCAGATTAAAGTAAGTGAGATGCACGTTTGGCCATTCCATATGCACGAAAAACAGGGAGTGGGTATTGAGAGAGCGCCACCAAACATATAAAAAAAATTTTTTTTTTTTTTTTTTTTTTTTTTTTTCTTCACGAACGCCTTTGTTAACAACACAGGGGAGAGAAATTATGCGCGATGATTCATCGGGTTATTTTCGGTTTAGGCGAACGAACGGATGAGCGAATGGCGAAAGATGTGCGACGGAATGAAGAAACGAATTGCCCGAATGCGAGATTACCACTTGCTATCAGGTCAATGGAAGGGGTTGGTGACACATAATTGGTTAATTATCCGAGGAATGAGGGAAAAAAAGAAATTCTCCTGAATATGCCCAAGAATGGAACAATGAGTTATTCCTTTGGGGTGCCATAAACAGCAGTTCTCGTGAGAAATGACCATCGCCAACAATTCTTGTAAAAAATTGCTAGACGATTCCCGGTGCTACGCTTCTCTGATCACCCGGTTCTAGCTTTATCGGACATGAGATGATTTTCCTTTCCGAAATCGTGTGCGTACGTGACGCTCTTAGGTGATCCTGCGTATGCACAGGCAAAGCCTCACATTTGACCAAATAGAAAAAAAAAAAAATTATATACGAGGCAAGGTGGAGGCTCGAACACGCGTGTGGGTGCGTATGCAAGGGCAAGCGGAACGGGGTGAGTGAATAAGCGAATGAATGAATGAATGAAATGAAATGAATGAAGTGAATTGAGGGGATGAGCGAACGAGTCGTGAATGAGTTGCTATTATGGAGTGATTCAAGGGTGTATCCATTAAACCTAAAAGTTAATACAAGCTCATCCCTTCCTTCTTTGCGATTTGCACTCTTCAAAGTAAGGACGATTTTTTGTCGATGATTGATGTATGTTCTCCCGTGAATTTTTTGGTTTCATTGTGTGTGCTCGTCGGTCAACTTACACGAATAATTGAACTTTATTTGTATGTGTTAAGATTGCGTGTATGAGAAGTTGTAGCATATCATATAATTGCAAAGATTGCTAGATAGGGGATATTAATTCACTGCAGGAAACTTTTTGCCATTCAATGGGTGACACCTTCGCGATTCACTGAACGAAGATTAACCAGAGAAGGGTAGAATAGGGAATTCGAGCAAAGATGTGAAATAAATAAAGATGCAAATTGGCTGTGGGGAACATTAATGTTTTTTTTTTTTCATGTCGCTTTGTTTTGGTGGTGCATACCCGTATACCGATTGCGTTTCCCTTTGTCCGGCGCAGTTTGGTGATCACGTACGGTTTTTCCAAATGACGATACCCTTGGGAAAAGTCATTCGACATTTATTTTCCTTCAATACACTCAGATATTATTCATTTGTGGCTGAGTCCAAGCACATCCATGTGCGCGGAAAAAGGGTAACCTATGATCACAATTATGCATAACCAACCTCTCTCGGCACCCTTTTCACCCTTCCCCCCATCTTTAAGTTTGTGCGACCATCATTCATTTTGATTTGCCTAAAAGTGACCATGCGGAGGCACATTGAATCAACAGCCTTATTGGTTGACACGTGTATCAGAAAGAATGTTTTTACGAGTAAGATCTTCCCGGTAATTATTAAGCCAAGTCGAGATGCTCGTTTTCCTACGACAATCATTACTTGATTTCCTCGATTCTGGTATTCGAGACCCTAAGTTCTTATCATTCACCAGACCAAGATCGTTCGGAATGATCATACGAACCAGATAATCCCTTGAAATTCGCAAGGCGCAACCGACCAACTGTGTCCACGGACTGTACGGATATGTCAAATGCGAATGAATGAATGGGTGATATCGATTCCTAGATAAGCAAGAAGTTCCCGTTTTCGGTGTCAGGTGCTCGAAACATGAATGACCTCATCGTCCCTTGCTTGCAGCGCATCATTCCTGATCGCTTAAGAATAGTGAATTCATGGTTGCAACTGACTAAGGTTTACCGATGCAATGTCACAGGTGGCTTCCGTGTATGCCGCAAATGCATATCTGCTTATCAAAGTATGGTGGCATTTTGACGAGAGAAGTTTGATCATTGGCGATCATAAAATTTTTCGGGTCGTGCCTGAAACATAGCAATGATCGGAAATTGGTGTTTCCGAGATGATACGTAGATACTGTAAATTAGGTGTGACCGTGATCCACTATCGATGGCAACGTTTACGCGCATCGCTTGACACCTGTGCGCGTTTTTCCTTATTGGATCTTTGCGGATCCTCCCATCCAGTCTCGGTTGACCCAGACGGAATTACGTTTCCGCGTTGAAATACATGCAACACGGGAGCTTTTGAACCAAGAACACGGATGATTGATGAAAGAAGATGCGATGCGCGACCTCTTCGCGCGTGCACACAACGGACGACCGACTCACGAAGTTCCGGGAAATGCTGGAATCAAATGACCGAAATAAAAATTTGTGTTCAGAACAGAACACTCTCCGAGCTTGTCGAGATGTGAAGGGCATAATGAGATCGTGCCTGCTGTGACACTTACTTAAATCGCATTCTCGACAAACCAATTAATTAATAATGACCGATCGAGTATCTCCAAATCTACCTCGAGTGAGCAACATGAAATAATAACAATAATATAAAATTATGGTTGCCACCCAAACCGCCGGGCAAACGGCCAAACCTCGAAAAGGTTTCTTTTTTGTATTACAGTATATACGGTGTATTCAAATTTTCAGGATTCATTTTTATATACAGTATATACTGTGTAATAATCTATGCATTTAGTTTGACCAGAGTTTGAATGGCAACTATAAATACAATGAATACAATAATATACAGTAATACTGCACACCTTTTCATTAAATCTTCGTACTGCGGGAAAATCTCAACTTTTCGCATAGGCATTCGTGTGCAATGTTTATTTATGCATAAGTGTTAGATGTACGGAATACACTTGTTGCGTGAAATTATGCGACCTCACAAGGGCGGTTCAAAGAAAATGCGTGTGAGCTTACGAATGGAGCATATCAAATTTTGATTTCACGCGTTTTGAGTGGCGGTGCCTGGCGAATCCATTGTCGTTGCAGAATCACCAGAGATTACGGTGAGCCACCAGGATTGGTGATCTTCCAAGGTTTGCCCGTACGGAGTAAGTGCAACAAACGTGCCTGACGGTGGGGATGCCTTGCGGAATCGAGGATGGCAAGACATGATCATGTGAGTGACCCGAAGAACGAAAACGTAGATCCCATCAATTTTTGACGTGTGTGCAACAGACCTGTCAAAATTTATGCGAAGACCGAATTATGAAACTCATATTGTTCTCGAATTAAACATGAATCACTCTCTAACCTAGCATTGGTGCGTCTTTTATTTCTCGCTAAAATTAGAATTAATCATACTCCGACGCGAATGGAATTAGATCGTCCACCGTTGACAGCTCCCGACATTTTATGCTGCATTTAGAAAGAAAGATAGCATGCTTGCAGAAATCTATTGCTCCAATAAAGTTTGGATCCGAATTTGACATCCCCTCCTTTTAATTTTTTGTGACACATCTTTTTCCCTGTGAATGGAATGATAACCGATACGCATTCTCCTGTTGATAATTAAAAGTTTCATGAGAAATTCAACTTTTTCAAACGCATCAGTTGTCGATCATTCAAGGAATCACAAATGGACTGCAGATGTTTATGTAAGACCAGAGAGTTTGAATCTCATCAAATAAAGAAATGATATCCGAGGATACCTTCTTCCTTTTCATTGATTTCGGCCCGCCTTCAAAAAAATGGGGACAAAAAGGTGCACAATTGTTAAGTTACAGTACGTGGTCAACGAATGATGGTTAAAAGAGATAAGACAGTCGTACCACATCATCATTCATGGAGTGGATGACAAGTCTCGAAGTTGATGGACTTCTTTTTTTTCCTTTAACCATTCCCAATCCGTAATCGATACGGTTGGAGCGAAGGGTGTTAATTGGTTCATCATTGATGAAAAAAAAAATCCTTTTCTATGTATTGGAGAATTTCGACGTTCACATGATGATAAATAAAAGCTCTGGACATTGAGCTCCGAGTCCACGAGTCTTGAACCAAAATAATAATAATAATAATAATCAGGATAAAAATAAAATAAAATAAAACCTCAATTGATAATTTAATCGTTATCGATGGCATGATTACACACATCGAAGTTTTCGACAAGATGCGATTCATGAATCATGCGCAGTGAACTAGACTTTATTTGTCACCAACTCTGCTGCAATCTAACCTTTCTTGACAAATTGTGCGTGTGAACATGAATGCGCCCACGAACTTTGATAGGTTGGGGCTGTGTTTAGGTTTAATATTAGTTTCAAAGGTCGAATGGAAAAAAACCAGACGAATAGATATCGTTGTGTGCAAATTTATCGAGGGATGCCAAGCATGGTTATGTAATAAACGTGGGCGCTGCGGTGTGGCAAATCCGATTGGTCAGAAGGATATTCACGTTAACCAAAGTTTTGAAATTCCCGGGATCACAGATTCCCGTCTTTAACGGTCCCTAATGTTGACAAATTAATAAATCTGCTTTGTCAAATGTATCACACTCAAAATTCTCTTTCCTGTGTGCCTGTCGACTACAAATTTTTTTGTTTTACAACAATTCCCCCCAAAAACGAATCATTGACTCACATCAAGTTTGAAAATTCAGGATATCGCGATCGATAAATCAATAATAATAATGATGATGATAAAATTATGATTCAAAAGTTTATCCATTTCTTTCATAATGCGCATAAGGTTTTATGCAATGCAGATTTCCACCATACTCTAAGTTTTACGTGGTCCCAAATCGCGTATCCAGGTTTCGCACAATCATAGACAAGTTTTGGTGACCCATAACTCGGGTGCAAACTTTTTTATGTTGTAGAAATTCAAAAAAAAAAAAAAAATAGTCGAAGAGGATGTCGTTGATAAGTTTAAATTATTTTGAAGAAAAAAAAGGATTTCTACTTTTAAAAAAGGTTTGATTTGTTTAATTATCTGTAGTAGAAAAAACGCATTTACAAGTTTGATTGATTCTATTTGCACCAAAGGTTCATCAATCAAGAATTGAGTCGGGGACTCCTTTATTAATATATAATCTTTAAAAAAGGTAACACCTTGAAATTATAACAAAGTTTTTAAGGATTAATGCAATCCTTTACTAGACGTACAGTATATCCTTTAAACCGGACCACGGCTGTATTTTTAATTTATTATTATTTAAAGAAGTCGAATACTTTATTTGCTATCGATAACTCTTTGTACATACATACTGTACTTATTGAAATAATACAACTGATATTTTTGAAAAAAAAAGATGCCAAATAATACTTGGAATTATTAAATAACATGCCGTATATACTGTATATTTTTAAGCCGACTCGCCCTCTATTTGGAGTAGATAGATATACTGTATGCATGACCTGGATAAATCATTAAAAAAAAAAAAAAGTTTTGCACAATATTCAAACGGATATTTATAAATTTCAATTTCTTGTGGATTTATCAATTTTTATTTTTAAATCTTTTCGCAATAATAAAACTTCAAAACATTTTTTTAAAAAAGTAGAATTAATTGATTCTGGCCGAAATTAATTTAAATTGGGCGATTGGTAAAATTATTTGGTGTCGGGCAAAATTGTTTAACACTGGACAAAATTATGAAATTAAGTCACATGAAATAATGTGCTTTTACTGTATATACAGTACTATTAATGGAAATAGTTAAATAATATTAAAAAATCATTAATATATGAAAGACGACAAAAAGTCAAAAAAATTCTTATTCATCCTTGAAAATATATTATCAATATACAAAACATATTATTAATTTTATAAAATTTTAAATAAGATATCAAAATTAATTTATAATTTTTAAATAATAATTTTATTTCAATAAATTATTATTATTATTAAGTTAAACTAATGATAAATATTTATTATATTAATAAATTTTAATATAAAATTGATACAATACTATTTAAAAAACAAAAATTCTATCTATTGATTTTTTTTTTTTTGATAATCTATTAGAAAAATAATAAATTAATTAAAACTTGATAATACCATATATTCAAGAAAACAATAGTTCTATAACCCTTTTTAAAAAGTATATAAGAAATTTAATAAAGGTTATTAATAAAATAAATATAAATCAACAAAAGTATTTTATTTTATTCAAACCTTTGATAAAAAAAAAAAAAAACAAGTTAAAAAATTCATATCACAATAAGATCAAAAAATTTAATATCGACTCTTTTAATTTCTAATTAAATTAATACAGATTAATACCTTTTTAAATATTAAAAAGAACTTGTCAATATAATAATTACAACTAATAAATTAAATAAAACTTCAAATTTATTAAGCTTAAAAAGATATTAAAAATTCAAAAACAATAGTTAAAATATAATAAATAATAATATGATTTCAATATATAAACAATTAGTATATAATATAAATATAAATAAATAAATATATATATATATATACAATTGCTTTCAAAAGTTTGAGTCCACTGAAATTCTTTAAAAAAAAAAAAACTCTTTTCGCAAATTCCTCAGATCCTTAAAAATTTCCTTTTTAGGCAATACACGCAAGAAAAGAGACAACATACACAACTCAAGACATATACTCTCACAACATCAATATACAAGAGACATCTTAGTACGGAACAACACTTCGTGCATAGTTTTAGTCTGGTGATTACTGAGAAAACACAATATATATCAATAATCTTAGCCTTTTTTTCTTTCCTAAGAAGAAGGAAATAAGTCAACATAAACTGATTCATAGTCAGAAAAGATGGGTCAATATCAACTTCACAGAGCTTGCAGCCAGGCCAGTATAGGTTGACACCTTTCTTAACACTACAAGGAATCTCAAAGCAAATAGGTTTGC